GGTCGTTCAAAAATAGCCTAATTTCAAAAATAATTGAAATTTAGCCATTTTTTATGTAAAGATAAATTTGAGCGAAAATACTGTTCAAAACCCGGAAAATACTCCAGTATATTATGCTGGAGTTCTAGCATAAGTATACTTGAACTCCAGCATATTATACTGGAGTTCCAGGATAGTATGCTGGAACTCCAGCATAATATGATGGAGTTCCAACATAAATACACTAGAACTCCAGCATAATATACTGGAGTTCCAGCAAGTATAATGGTCCGGTATAATATACTAGAGTTTGGAGCACCAGTGTTCCAGTCTCCAGTATATTATACTGGAGCCAGCAAAGTATACCGGTCCAGCATAATATGCTGGAGTTCATACACAAGTGCACCGAACTCCAGTATATTATACTGGACCGGTCTCTATTGCAGCAAAACGGTGGCTATTTTTCATTGACTTGGTAAACGCTGGCTATTTTTGATTGACCAGTCCGAAAACTAGCTATACCGTGAAATTTTGGCGAAAAATTTGGTGGGGAGCGTTTTCTCCGAATGGGTCCTATGCGGTGCGAATATGAATATAATCGGGCTCTAATGGAGGTACCGGACCTCGAATACGAAAAATACCAGGAGTAATTTGATTTTTGTTGTACATATTGTTAGTTAAAAAATACAATATTTAATTACCATCCAAAGATGTGGTAGGATAGACCAGCTTACTCCATTTCGAAATTAGTGGGGATGACTAGTTTTTTGTATTGATAATTGAAAAATAATAGCTTTTAAAAAGTAATTAAAATTACTCACTATCTAATGCGGATAAAATTTAGATAAATATTTTTAGCTAAAATACGAAAAAATTTAATATTTGAAATTTTTACATATGAAATTCTAATATAATATATTGGAGTTTAAAACTCTCTTTTGAAGGACATTCACCAAATACATAGAGTCACAGACCATTACAAAAGCCATCGACCTCGTAATTCCCTTTCATTATGTTGGGTTTTATATAATAAGAGGTGTGAATGGAAAATAGAGGGAAAAGATTTGGAGTGAAACAAAAAGTTTGAAGTTATTTTCTTTATTAATGCACTTTTTCCTAATCGGAAAAATAAAAGAAAATCTTTGTGCTTATATAGAGAAGCACATCTTCAAGCTCTTAAAAAGTTGAGAAGAAGTGGTGCCTCGCGTCGCCGTCGTCGCTCGGCTTCGATTTCGGATTTGGTCAATTGATAATTGTTTGGACCAAATTTATTTCCCGTTTTCCGTTATTTATTTCACGGATAATTTCCTAACGCCTAACGGTCATTTTTGAATTTAAAATTCGCGACCAAATAGAAAAGTTTTTGGCCGAAACAGTACCTCATGTGAAGAAGTACTTTCGCATCTATTCAACCCAAATTGTTTGGCTATAAATTCAAAGGTTTGGTCTCACTTTCAGATCACCGAAATTTGAATATTCTCCCCTCTTTCTTCTACATTTCTGCATTGTTTTCCAAAAGCAAAAAACGTAAGCATTAGTGTGGTTTATGCCGTTTGTTGAGTTCGACGAAGTTCTGTAATTTTTATTGCCGGTATTAAGAATAGTTGTTCATTTCTATCCTGGGAGGAATTAATCCAACAACCTTGGGCAACAGTGAGGGGATTAAATTCCTTACGGAAACACAATTTTCTATTGGGCTCGGAACGTTATTCGTCTGATTATATTTCTGTCTTTTGTTTCTAATTTCGTTCTATTTTGCAGAAATTATATTTTTGAATACAGATACTAACAAGCTTAAGGAATTTAGTTTTTTATATTCTGTATTCATCTTACTTTCTGCTTTGGGAGACTAAAATCCTAGCGATTTTCTACTCCCATTTTGGAGATTAAAATCTTCAAATTTTCTACTCCAGTTTGAGATTAAAGTCTTTGTGGCTTTCTACTCAATCCGAGATTAAAATCCTAGTAATTTTATACTCGGTTGTTTGTATTCGATTTGAAGATATAAAAACTTCACCGACTTATTAATTCTGGTTGTGTGAATTTCTTTTACAGAAAAATGACAACAAGTACGAAACAACAGAATGGTTCTATTGGGACTACTAATGCTGCAATGGCTGCGTGTTCAAGTCGCACAACGCCTGCACCTGTGATGGCACCGGCAGAAAAGCCCGAAATTTTTTTCGGCGTGGACTTTAAGCGCTGACAGCAGAAAATGTTCTTTTACCTGACCACACTCAGTTTGCAACGCTTTATCAGCGAAGACGTTTCAGTCTTAGGAGAAGAAACACCCGAAAATGAACGATTTGTGGTCACAAAAGCGTGGAAGCATACTGACTTCTTATGCAAAAAATTATATTTTAAGTTGCTTGAAAGACGGCTTGTACAATATTTATAGCGTCATGAAACCCCTAAGATTTGACTTGATTTTTATGTGTTCAATGTGTTGGGGGTTGTGTATATACGTGGTGGCGAGCGTATATGCACTTACCATGTTTACATCATGACTAGGGGTAAATTGGGATATTTTATGCCTTGTTTTGACTATGTGCTCATTTGATTCATGACTTGTTGGTAGGGGTGTCAACGGATCTTTAAAAATTGACTAAACCGACCGAACCGTACCGAATCGATTATTAGGTTTCTTTTAGTAAAACCATAGGTTTTTATATAAACTTATAACCGCACCGAATAATAGGGTAGATTTTTAATTTTATAAAAATAAACCAAAAAATACCTAACCATACCGAATAATTTATATATGAAAATATAGTTTATATACTAAGTTTATAACTAATAAAGCATTAAGTTTTTTTTTCTTGCGTCATGGGATTATGGAAATGACTACAAGTGACCAAATAATTAATATGCAAAGTCCAAACTTTCTAACCTATTCTACTACTCATGAATATTGTACTGGATCGACACATGAATTTTTTATTGGGTTTTGGTGATACATGAATTGTGTATCGGGGTATATGGATCTTGTACCGACTTGAGCATGCAAATATATTCTTGACTCACTTAGATGCATACATTTAGATGCTAATTGTATCTTGACATCCTTATATGCTAGTTTTGTATCTCGACCCCGTTATTTGAGCATAATATCTTTTAATACTCCATCTGGACAACATTATGATTATTTCTTGAATTGAAAAAATATGCTTAACATCTTTCAATTGTTGATATCTTTGATTCTTGTTATTCATGAGATATTCTACTGTTTCAGTTCTAAATTCTGCTATTTATATCTGTGTTGGTAAGTATCAAGATACATCTAGCCTCGCTATTACTTCTTTGAGGTTAGGCTTGATACTTACTAGGTACCGAAAGTAATGTACTGATACTAGGTTTCTGCACATCTTTTTATGTAGATCCTCAGGTGGATCCTAGCAGAGCTTCTTGACTGAGCTTCGATGACTGCATAGAGACTTTGGGTGAGCTGTAATCCATGATCCATTTCGCAGTTCCCGAGTCCCTATTCCTTTTGCTATTTTCTGTCTATTATTCTTTCAGATAGCTTTGTTATGTATACATCGTTATTCTATTTCAGTAGTTGTTCGTGTATTTGTGCCACCTAGTTTGGATGATTATACTGTATTGGCCGTGTTTAGGCTGAGTTACGACTATATCAGATATTGGTACTGTTTTAGACTATTTCTTTCTTTAACTACTGTTTGACATTAGGATCATTAACAAGTAAAGATATTACAAGTGCATCGTTGTGGGGGATGATCAAGCCGTCCGCATCTTCATCGTCAACGTTATGTTGTCTCCTTCAAAAAACTTGACGAATCCGCTTCCCACGTGTAATTAAGATCTTGACTGTCTTTTTTGCTGCTGTGTACGTTACTCCGTTGACCTTCTCACCCCCGGTTATAACATTTACAGTCCTTTTTGGCGACGGAGATTTTGGTGGTTCTTGCCTACTTTTCATATAAGATTGTTTTCCTTTTTCACTAAACAAATCGGTGAGTTAAGCTTTCTTCAGTAAATATTCAACCTCCCTTGCAAGAGCCTGCAATCTGCTGTTCTATGTCCATGATCATTATGGAATTCGCACAAGAATTTCTGCCTTCTTTTGATGGGATCTGTCCTCATCTCTTTTGGCCATCGTACTTTATCACCCATACCTCTCAGCACATCTACCAACTCGGATTTACTGACGTTGAAATTATAATCTCATACTCTTGATCGGGAGTTTGGATCGTTGTTTCATGCTGTATCCCGTTCCTTATTGAATCGGGAAGAAGAACTCGTCTCCTTTTGTCTCAATCCTGAATCAAACTGTGCCTTTCTTGTTTTGATCTGGAATCTCCTCCCGCGGGTCCCATGTAAGGCTCGTACCTGTTCTTTCTAGACCTCCTTCTGTTTCTGAACGTCTAGACCCGGACCTTTCCTCTACCTTTAGCTGAGACACCATATCTTTTTCTATTCGTAACTTTGTACTGTACCTATTGATCAAAATGATTAGAATCTTAAATTTCTTTAGATAAGTAATAAATGAAAAAAAAACTTTCAATTCTTATCGCCTGCCTCGTGTAGCCTCGTGTATCGACTACAGCCGGACCTCTCTACAAGAGCATCCCTATATAACAACACTTCACTATAAAAGCCAAACTTCTTCGGAACCAATTTTTATGTTATGTTATAATATATGTTCTCTACAACACTTTGCTATAACATCCAAAAATATTTGGAACAAACGAGGTTGTTATAGAGAGGTTTGACGGTATATCAAAATAGACAACTAACAACAACCAAAAATTACAACCAAATATCAAAAATTCAAGCGCATTTTGACTTTGAAATAATTTTTTAATTTTCGTTATAATTAAATTTAAATTCTAACAAAACCATTTTATACTTATCTAATGTTAAAGCAGAAATGGAAAATTCCAATGTAACAGTAGCATTTCATCTTTTTGGAAAATTAACCCAAGCACCAAGCAACTCCTGTCTCCACGTATATATATGAAAATGAAGAATATACACACACTTATAAATACAGAGAGGCACATCGCCAAATCTCATCAGCAAAAACCCCTATATCTATCTTCCGCTTTTCTCCCCCATTCTCTCTCTAAATTCTCAATCCGATTTCACTTTTGTAAATTCTCAGTCCACTGCTCTATCTAATCAGAATTTTATAGGATTGATACGCTTAAATTTTTTAATTATATAAAATATATATATTTATTGGCATAAAATTGTGGGAATTTTCATTTTCGATCTATAATTATCTGGGTATTTATGTGTTGTTTAGATTGAATTGATAAACATAAGATACTTGGGTGGGTTTTTGAATCAAGAATGAAAATTGAATCTACAAGGAATTGATAATAAAAGAAGAAAAATGCCGGGTTTAGCACAGAGAAATGATCACCAATTGGGTGGGTCGGATTCGGGTAATGGGTTCTGGTCAAAGCATAACGATGGCATCGGCCACAATGAGCTACAGAAGGTAGTCAATTTGGATTCTTCCTTTTTTTTATTGCAAAATATTCTGAATTTTGGGCTGTATTAATTTTACTTTTTTTGTTGGTGAATTTGGATTGGTGACTGTGAGTTTGTTTTTGGATCTTGTGATGTAATAATGGATTAATGGAGTGGTTTTATGGATTGAACTTTGCCATTTTACTGAATTATATTGATATCCAGTGTGAAGTTTTTGTAGTAATTGATTTAGTTATGTTATACGGAACGTTAGAAGCTCACGACAATCTAAAGAACAATATTGCTGTAGCAAAATCTTGAAAATAAGACAGGTTGCCCGCTACAATAGGTAAAGGTGACCTGTAATGGTGTAAAAATTCCTTATAGTGACAGTGTGTATAATTTAGACTCCAAGTAGTTATCAATGTGGTAATGTCATATGAATGTAAGAAGTTCACAACAATCTAAAGAACAATTGTGCTGTAGCAAAATCTTTAATGGGTTTTTTGAATTCAGAATTATTGATTAGTTGGAGTGAAATTCCTTTACTGTTTTACAGCAATGCTTCATCTATGAATTCAGTTACATGTAGAATGTTTCAGGATCACTAGGATTCAATTTTATTTTCATGTTTATTAAGTATGAATTGCTCGATTACTTAAATCGATGTGATTTAGTTCTAATAGCAAGAGAATGATGCAAAATGTTTCTTTTATCGGTTCGTAGTTCTGGAGCGAGCTATCACCTCAAGAGAGGCAGGAGCTTCTGAGGATTGATAAGCAAATCCTTTTTGAGCAAGCTCGTAAGCACATGTACTGTTCTAGATGCAATGGGTTACTGCTTGAAGGGTTTTTGCAAATTGTCATGTATGGAAAGTCTTTGCAACAGGAGGGAGCGCGTGCGAACCACCCTTCTGGCAGAGTAAGGGCCTTGAAGAATCAGTGTGATGGGGGTTTGTGTGTGAAAACAGGTTATGAGGATGACGCTCAAGATCCATCCGTCCATCCTTGGGGAGGTCTGACCACGACACGAGATGGAGCACTTACCTTATTGGACTGTTATATATATACAAAGTCCTTGGAGGGGCTTCAAAATGTATATTTCTTTTTCTCAATAAATATCTTTCTCCATAATCTTCCACTTTTCCTCTTACCTTTCCTTTGAATCAGGTGTTTGACAGTGCACGTGCAAGGGAACGGGAGAGAGAACTGCTTTATCCTGATGCATGTGGTGGAGGTGGTAGGGGTTGGATAAGCCACGGAATGACAAGCTACGGCAGAGGGCATGGAACAAGAGAAACATGTGCTCTTCATACAGCTAGGCTTTCCGTCGACACATTGGTGGATTTTTGGTCTGCCCTTGGAGAAGAGACACGACAATCTCTTTTAAGAATGAAGGAGGAGGATTTCATTGAAAGGCTCCTTTACAGGTGTGCGTACATTGTCATTCATTCGATTTCTTACTTTTTGAATACTTACTCTCACCCTCTTTTGCTTCCTAACCATCTAGTGTGTAATTCAGTCATTAGATGCATTGTGCTGAGACGGTTATTAATCTTACAATTGCATGTATAATTGAGGAGTTCTTAATTCTAAGTCTTAGCCCCATGAATTTATCTTGTAGTTTTATCCAATGTGGTGTAAAATTCTCGAGGAGCAAATACCACTTTAATCTGTTTGTATATTGGTTCTGCTTTGGTGTGGTGTAATCGGTGGTGATTTTTCTATGTGGGTGTAATTGTTGGTGGAGCTTCCTCAAATGATTTCTGGAGTTCACGACTGAAGTTAAGTGGTTGTTTTAATTATGATTAATCACTGATGGTTAGCTTAGTGTCTTCCTTTTAAAACGGAGGTAAAAAGATCTAGATAAATCAAGCTATAATTGTTAGGAAAGGACGTATTTTGAACTTTAACGCTTAAGGTTGTAAGGGATAGGTATGTCTGATATAAGAGCCAAGGTAGTATAATGTACAAGAGCAGAACAATTCTTTTAGTGACATTGATGTGTTAAGCAATATTAGCTTTGATCTTGAATGATGATTCAAGCGACTTAACATCAGCAATTATATTGGGTGATTTTCCTGTTATTGGATGCTGAAGTTAGCAAGAATGCAGGTTGCGGCAGTATTTCAATAAGAAAAGTCTCGGCAACCTGCCTCGCTGCTAGCAAGTTAATATCCACAGTAGGTGGTCTCTGTTTCCTGCCGCAGATACAATCACTGGAACATCAAGTTCCCATATTCTTTTCTGTCCTTTAGATGGACATCATGATTTCTTGTTAAAACATTTTTAATAGATAATTTGCTTATTTTAGAAGTTTCTGGTTGCAGGTTTGATAGCAAGAGGTTTTGCAGAGATTGCAGAAAGAATGTTATCCGTGAGTTCAAGGAGCTGAAAGAATTGAAGCGTATGCGCAGAGAACCTCGTTGCACTAGTTGGTTCTGTGTTGCAGATACTGCTTTCCAGTACGAGGTGTGATTATTTTTCAACATAAACTCTTTTTTCTTTTTTTTCTTTTTTTGGTTGGTGAAGCACAAATGTGGAAATTTAGCTATATCTTTTCCTTTTCTGCTTTCTTATATTTTTGGGGAAATGAAATGTTTCTGCTGCCACTTTAATATTAATATTCAAGGGCTATGCATTGTTAAAATTGTGCTATGGTAAGTATGGTTTCCCTTGCACATTAATCCCTTGAAGCTGTTTCTTTTCGTCAAGGAAAGGCTGCAAATGATTAAAACACTGGCATGAATTCACTTTCCTACCGACCTACCCTGCTCCCCCTGCCCACAAAATTGAATGCTAAGGAGAGAAAAATAATGAGAGACAGGAAGACCTAAGAAGCTGATGCTTTGATTCCTGGATCTTAAGAAAAAGTTGAAGTAGTTACGATTCTATGCTCCCAGCTTGATGCCATTTTACTTTCATATTCTCAGGTTTCTAATGACACAATCCATGCTGATTGGCATCAGACTTTCATTGACAACTTTGGGACATATCACCACTTTGAATGGGCAGTGGGAACTGGAGAAGGAAAATGTGATATATTGGACTATGAAAATGTTGGCTTGAGTGGAAGAGTTCAAGTTAATGGTCTTGACTTGGGTGGTTTGAATGCCTGCTACATCACTTTACGCGCATGGAAAATGGACGGCAGATGTACCGAGCTTTCAGTCAAAGCACATGCCTTGAAGGGGCAACAATGTGTACATTGCAGGCTTGTGGTTGGGGAGGGTTTTGTAACAATAACAAGAGGTGAAAGCATTAGAAGGTTCTTTGAGCATGCTGAAGAAGCTGAAGAAGAAGAGGTAGTCAAGTTTGTGAGGCTTCTGAAGTATCCCTTTGTTGCTGCTCTTTCATTATTTAGTATTGCTATCAGATGCTAAGATATTCTTTATGTTGTGAAATTCTCAATCTTATGGTTGTGGCTTGATGTTTCCTTTTAAGGATGATAACTCCATGGACAAGGATGGAAATGACCTGGATGGTGAATGTTCCCGTCCTCAAAAACATGCGAAGAGTCCTGAACTTGCACGAGAATTTCTTCTAGATGCTGCAACTGTAATTTTTAAAGAGCAGGTAAGCCCTAACCCTGCTTCTGTTGTCCGTGCCATGTGCTTTAGTCTATTCGCAAGTGGTTTCTAAAGTAGTACTACTTTTATCCTTTTAATTCTTCAACTTATTGAAGTTTTGCTTATCAGGAGGTCATTAAAGAAACTTGAGCAATGGGAGTCTGTTTTTTTTTTAAAATGCTAGGATTTATTCATACAGCATTAAGACAGTGCTGGAGTTCTGTGGCAAAAGTGAGAAGACAAAAGTATATTCCTGTCTAAAACTGTAGGAGTTCTAGGAACTCTAAAATAGATTCAGCTTCATTAACAAGTTCCATTCTACGCGAAAAGTAAAACAAACAAAAAATACTGTTAGCCTTTATCCTCTGAATGTGGTTATATATCTTCAAAGCATCTCAAGTTCCTCTCTTTCCAAACTGCCCACCAGATGCAAGCTGGTAAATGCTATAGCGTTTCACCATGTTATCTTCCTTCCATCTGACCCTGCCGCTGGTAAATGCTATAGCGTTTCACCATGTTATCTTCCTTCCATCTGACCCTGCCCTAATCCAGTTTCTCAGAAAGTCAGCACTGTTTCTTGACATAGGCCATTTGATACTCAAAAGGTTCAAAAACAGTTGCCAAATCTGATCTGTAACTGGACATTGAAGAAATAGATACCGGTTGCTTTCTGTGTATCATTCCGGATAATTAGCATCTGCTGCATAGCAATGTGAGTCTATTTTATTAAGAAAACATCAAGTTGCTTGAATCTAGCTACTTGCTTTCCAGAAAAGGAATTTTTTGTCAGTCAGATTCTCTAATCAAAGATGATAGGTATAAGGGCTTAACTTGCTAAGCTTCCAAAATTTGCTTATTTTCAGAAGTGCTTTTATTAATTTGGATTTTCAGAGAAGTGCTTCGGTTTGTGTTTGGCCAATTCATTTCAGAAGCGCTTTTGTCAGTAGTAGAGAAGCAATCTGTCTTTCGATAAATTGAGGACGGATAGTTTGGTAAGAGTATTGTTGTCCTGAAAAATTAATTTTGTGCTTCTGCTTTTAGAAGTTACAAATGTCTACTTCTCCCTGCAACAAGAAAACTACTTTCCGACTACTTAAATCACCATTTCTTCGAGAAGTTTAGCCTGAACACCTTGACTCTCTAACATAGCACTTTTAGTGTCCGGAAAGATTGGCCAAACAGGACCCTAGCTTATCAAAAAGAAAGATTGGCCAAATAGGCTATAAATTTAAGGTGATAGAATAAGTTTGTGTATTTTAAACAATTCTTTAGTTAGTAACTTTTGCATTTTTTATTTTCGTAGCCTAATATTATAAATGTTTCACCACAACAATCTTCTTTTACGAAGCAATTGTTGAGAGCGAATAGCAGGCGGATTATGAACAAAGTATGTTCAGGATTTAGATCCTTATCTGCTTAATGTTTCTGGGGAGCTAAGTCAATTGCTTGAGAATCTATGTTGCTGGATCCTCCAAAAAGGCTGTCGGGTGTTTGTCGGTTCCTCCAAAAATAGTGCATTTTTGGACGATTCGGGTGACGTAGTTTGGATTCTATTCACATAATCATTCGACCAATAACCGCCTTTTGTTTTCTAATATTTCTTATAATTGGAAGACAAGCTAGTGTACCAAATTGTGCGCCTTAAATATCCTATGCTAGTCTTATTAAGTTTGGCTCTGTTTTCCCTCTAATAGGGTAAAGTTCAGTTTATCACTTAATAGGAATCTTCTGTCACATGATATTAATATCATGAAGCTGCAACTAAAATTAGGAACCAAATAAGATCTCCCTTTTTGGAACCAAGTTTGAGATGATTTGGGAATTGCAATGCTTGGTTAATTTTGGTGCTTGAATTTGTTCTGACACGGAAATATATACAGGTTGAAAAAGCTTTTAGAGAAGGAACAGCACGGCAAAATGCACATAACATATTTGTCTGTCTTGCATTGAAGTTGCTAGAGGAGCGTGTACATGTTGCCTGCAAGGAAATTATTACTTTAGAAAAGCAGGTACTCAGAAGATGTATTTATGGATTAAGTCCTGTCAAAGCTTCTTCTTTTAGTATGAATGCTTATTCCTGCTTGTAGAGGTATGGTTTGAGTCTCTGCTTAATTTGTTGATGCAGATGAAACTTCTTGAGGAAGAAGAGAAGGAAAAGCGTGAAGAAGAAGAACGCAAGGAGCGGAGGAGGACAAAAGAAAAGGAAAAGAAACTTCGGAGGAAGGAGAGATTAAGAGAAAAAGAAAAGGATAGAGAGAAGAAAGGTTGTGAATCAAATGAAACTAATTTTGTTCCTGATGATTCAAAGGAGGAGATTTGGAGGAAGGAGAGATTAAGGGAAAAAGAAAATGATATAGAGAAGAAAAGTTGTGAACCTAACCAAACCGATGATGTTCCAAAGGAGGAGTCAACACCTAGTGTTGATGATGATGAGTCGAATTTGATAAGCAAAAGGGGTTCAGTGAGTGAAACGGGTGAAGTCAATCGTTCCAGTCCTTTATCCCCTTTATCCCCGGATAACGAATATGATCTACTTTTGGATAGGTATCATCGCTCGAATATGCAAATCCACTCTGATGACTATCCTGAGGAATTCAATATTAAAGATATGAGTTCTTCTGTAAGTGATCATTTGAGATACTCCCGGCGGAGGTCGAAATTTCGAAATGATTCCCAACCAGATTCAGGCCTGAAATGGTTTGATAGACGACGGTTTGCTGTTGTTTCAGAGAGCGGAGGTGTAGTGAGCAAGCATGACCCAAGACATTACTGTGATGACTTTGGAGCTTCTAAAAGTACTAATAGGTTGAATAAGCAACTAAGAAATAATGTTGCAAAGTCCAACATACATAATGGTACCTCCAAGTTTGCGGAGAAGCTCCAATGTTCAAATAATAAGAGGATGAATGACCGATATGACTCTGCCGCTTGCAGCTGTAACCAACACACCGATTATAGATCGAAGTTGGATCCAAATATGGCCAGAGAAATACACGATAACAAACCTGTGAGTAAGTCAGCATCTTCATCAGATATCTCCAAGCAGTATTATCATGGGAACAAATATAATCAACTCGAATACATGCGAGAAAGTGGTAGAAGACTCAAAAACAGAATGACTACAGGTAATAATCTGTCCAGCTGGGATTCTCCTGTTACTAAGAAAGTATGGGAGCCAACAGAATCACAGAAGAAGTATCCAAGAAACAGCTCCGACTCTGATCTTACATTGAGTACTGAAACTCTAGAGGATCCAGAATATTCGATTTCCAATAGTTCGGAAGTATCTAGTCCTCTTCAGATCCATCATGAAGAAAAGGACGTTCAAGAATCAAGAAAACCTGGCTCCAAAACAGAAAGCAACTGCAGAACTGGTTTTCATTTAGAAGAGAAATCCCAGCACTATTTGAAATATTTAGGAGGAGATGATGAAAATGAGTCGCTGCAGGGGTCTTCTTTGGTTTCATCACAGAGAAACTCTTCTAATTCTGATAATTGCTCATCCTGCCTTAGTGAGGGAGACAGCAATACATCCTTTTCAAATCCTCGACATCCAGAATCATCATCAACGTCAGATTCAGAAGATTGCAGCCAAAAGTCAGAAGGAAGAGGAACTTCAGAAATTAGGAACGGCTTTGCTGATTGTTATGAAGTTGCGCAACAAAAGGGGAATGCTACTGGTAGTGGTGTTCATGTTGAGTGCCTTACACCAGATGCTGCAAGAACAACTACAGTGCAAAGTTTTCCTGTAACAGCTAATTCAACTTGCAGTAGTGGAAATATGAATGGGGCTTCTCTTGGAACTCAACCTCAACCTGTGCATCCACCAGTCCAAAATCAAGGCATACACTTCCCTTTGTTTCAAGCTCCTGCAATGGGTTATTATTATCAAAGTCCGGCTTCTTGGGGAGTAGCTCCTGCGAATGGGTTAATGCCATTTCCTCATCCAAACCACTATGTATTTGCTAGCCCTTTTGCTTATGGTCTGAATGCTTATACGCATTTCATGCAGTATGGCGGCCTACAGCATCTTACCCCTCCTGTTGTCAATCCTGGTCAATTCCCTGTTTACCAGTCAGTTGCTCAAACAAATGACACGTGCACAAAGAAAAGTGCTAATGATACAACTATTGGTGGGTTAAAAGATGCCCATCACAAAGCTAATATGCAGAGGATGGGGCAGCATACAACAGATAAACCAACTGTAGAAGCAGGTCAAAACGAGAAGTCTGGAAGTTCGGGCTTCTCTCTTTTCTCTTTCACTCCTGATCCCTTTTCTTTAAAACAAGGGATTGCGAGGAATATTTCTTCAGATTTGACAGCTGATCACACTGAGGGTGATGGCGGCTGCATTAAGAAAGATCCAGTTGAAGAGTACAACCCGTTTGCAAACCGGATTGAGTTTCCTTTTCCTGATATAGTTTGTTAACAGCGATATGAGGTGGCTGCATGCCAGGTTTCAGGTTATATTCTCTACTGAGTAATGGAAGATTGAGTACTTATAATGTCATACAGAATAATCCTCTCAAAAAATTTAGCAATTTTTTTCTTGATGTAGTTGATTGGTTTTGTTTTGTTTTGTTTTGAGTTGTAATCTGTTTTTTTTTCTTGCGTAGAGAGAGCAAAGGTTGAGAGAATGACATAGTGTTTCGAGTTAAAATTGTATGCAATGAGCTTTTTCCTTTACAGATAAATGCGGTGTTTGATCGGCATGATGTGCTTAGATTCACATGTTCCTTTATACCTTATTAGCTTGGTATCTTGCTAAATGATTCCAAACAACTGCGAGGATAAACTTGTGGTCTTAAAAGCTTAAGGGGTAAAAACATTGTGGGGCCATGACATTTGTGTAGCTATAACAGCTTCTCATTACGGGTAAAACGAAGAGTTTAAAATTAAATTATTTTCAATTATAGAAATGTGTCATTCTTTTTGGAACGAACTAATAAGGAAAATGTGTCATCTAAATTAAAACAGAGGGAGTACCAGCCTGCTTGGTCAAGCTTCTCCAAAGCCAAAAGTGTTTTTTTTTTTCTTAAAAAAAGTGCCTTTTTTCCGAAGTTGTAGTGTCTGGCCAAACTTTTAGAAGGAAAAAAAAGTGCTTTTGAGTAGAAGCAAAAGCAATTTTGGAGAAATAGAAAAAAGTAGGTTCTTTCCAAAAATACTTTTTTGAAAAGCATTTTTGAGAAAAATACATTTTGAAGCACATTTTAAAAACTTGGCCAAACATTCATTGTTGTTTAGAAGTCCTTTTCAAATTAATTGAGCAAAATTTATTTTTAGCCACTCAGCTAGAATTTATATCACCCGGTAGCCACAAAATGACCCCATACAAGTCATAGCCTAAAAACAATAAGGCCAAATACATAGACAGGCACCGGAACTTGGCACCGATTTTCACATAAGACACATAAAGTTGGGCTCTTTCCTATCAGGCACGCGAACATCCTCCCATGTGTGCCAATTAAACACATACCTCATATCCGGTCTTAAAATTTAGGAGCGTGTATGTAAACGCAGCTGATGTGTAATATGTAGCTAATAAAAATTTGCCACGTGTCTAAGTAGTCCACATAAGCTCTGTTTGTCTTAAAATATATTTACTCATTTCATTTTTACCCTAAATCAAACCCGTTTATCAGACCCATCTCCCCTCTATATGTTTTACCATTACACATCTCCCCGTCGTCTCCCACCGTAAAACCCTAAAAATTGTAGGTCGATTAGTGTTCGATTTTAATTTTCTTCCATCCTTACAAGTGTATTTCGTTGTTTAACCGACTATGAAGCGATGTATTTGTTGAGGGGTCGGTTGCATGTATCCAATCTAGAAGCCCATGTTAATGAGCTACTACTTTTAATAAATAATCAAGGTTTTTAAGTACAGGTAAGCTTGTATATTGTTTATATTTATGATTATTATAGTTATAGCGGTGATTTTAAAACTTTTCCTAAAAAGCTAGGGTTTTTTTTGTTCGATTGGGAGAATCTGACCTGGGTTGTTTGTCTTTTGCTTTGTTTTGCAGTGTAAAATCTTTGCCATGTCTAGAAAATTTATTCAAGCCCGATTTTACCATGGCGGTACTTTTACCAATGAAGTCAAGTCCAAATACATAGGTGAAAGAGACGTGGACATCTACGGTATTGAAAAAGATCACTTTTCCTTGGTCGAATTGCAGTTTTATTCTAAAGATCTTGGGTACAATACTGTTGCTGGTTTCTATGTTTTGAACCAAGAGAGAAAAGACTTTGTTTTGTTGGAAAATGACACTCACCGTTATAATATTGTCTCTCCTCTTAAACCTTTACAATATTTGGACTTATTTATTGAGCATGTTATTAATAACCCCGTTGTAGTAGAAAGGGTGGTCCCATGTGGTCCTACTACGAGGCAGATGTTGAAGATAACCTTTCAATTATTAGGTCTAGAGCAGCACATGTTGGGTCAAACAGTATAAATACAAAAGGACCTGCTGAAGATAACCTAAGTGTGGTTGAAGGGGCACAAACAATAGAGGACTTGACACTAGAAGATGTAATTTTTGAAGACTTAGATGGGATTGAAGACACAACAGATCTTGATCTTCTATCAGATCTGGATAGTAGTGAGTCAGAACTGGATGTCATACCTGATGTAGATGATAGTGAGGTTGATGAAGAGCTAAGAGAACTAAGAAATGAAAGGAGTAAAAAACAGCAGAATAAGAGTAGGAAAAATCCTACACAGCAGAAAAAGAGTAAAAAAAAAACCTACTGCAACGCATGAAGTACCAATAGGAGAAGCTGGTCTAGATAAAGGGTTTGAAGACATTGGAATAAATAAGAGAGACAAATATGCAGGGAACCTAGGTGGGGATGAGGACTATCTTGGTAGCTCTGACCTTGGAAGTGACGATTCTGAGGATGAGTTAGATGTTGAAGCTGAAAGGGGTGTTGATTTACCAGCTAGAAGAAGAAGCAAAAAGGTTAGACATGATCCTAAATGGGAAGTTAGTGTTTTTGAACTTGGGATGGTGTTTGAAAATGCCATAGAGTTTAGGAAGGCAGTGACCAATTATACTATTGAGTCCAAGGTGCAGCTGAAATTAAAACCAAATGAGAGCCACAGAGTACTTGTGAAGTGCAGAACTAGCAAATGCAAATGGACACTGTATGCAATCAAAGACAGAGATTCTGACTAATATTTCATATTAACTATGACTAATATCTGATATTTTTCATCCTGGTAATCCATCTGAAAGAGTATATCACATGGGAGACCTTTGAAGAATACAACTGAAACCAATATAGATATTAGATTTAAGCCGCCTGGTCTAAAATGGAAAGGCAGACAAGCACTAACAACTAGCCAACTCTAGCGGATGAGTGCATCAAGGAATACAAAGACTTCCAGTTAAGAAGGCACATCCTCATCTTTTGCGTCAAGTCAAAGGAGTTGAACCAAGTGACTTCATTGTTTAATATGGTTTAGGTACTTATTTAGTTAATTATTTGGACCTGTAGTAATGACTTCTTGAAAAGCAACTTTATTTTGGTGTGGCCTTTTGTATTTTTGGTGGCTACATGATTAGCGTGTGCTTTAGCTCTTGTATTTTGGTCTTATATTGGCATCATGAACAACCTATTTTGTAGCTCTTTATGAGCTTGGTCATATATATATATATATATATATATATATATATATATATATATATATATATATATATATATATAAGTTTTCAACCTTCATACGCTTGTATTTTGGTCTTGTGTTGGCATCATTTATCAATACCATCTATATAATTCTTGTAGCAGTCAAAAATAATAGGCTAAGCAATGAATAGTACACCCCAAAATACCATTATCATTGATTGAATACATAGTCCAAAATTTGGGTACAATTTATGTCCCAATTACAACCAGTCATACTGAATACAATGTGTTCTTATCGCAGCTAATATGATCAACCGGTAATACCATTCCAAACCAACAACATAAGTATCATAACTAACACCCAACAATATTTTTTCCACCTTTTAGCATTAAGTTCAGTTGCATCATTTTTTTTTACCTTCTTCAACAACCCCCATATCATCCTTGTAGCTTGATCTGGAAATTGAGGTTCAAACCACATAAAAAATTACGTCTACCTTTCTCCTGCAAAAAACAAACCGAACAAAGATACAATTTGTAAAATCAGCAACTAATGAAGAACAACTCAACAACGACGATAAATTCTTGTGCTTACTTCGTCAATTTTGCAGCGATAAAATCGACGACCTGGGGTTTCTCTCTGAGCATGATGTTTTCAATAGAGTATTGATCTCACATTGATAAATAATCGGTCTATTAAGCGAATACATTGTCCTTTGCGAAATCGACCAGACGAATCCACTGCCAATTACATCGAGTCACTAAAGAAAAAAGGAAGAAAGAAACACAAGAAAATCCACTGCCAATAAAGAGAAAATGAAGAAAGAAACAAAAGAAAATCATTTACTTGTTCGAGCCTTCAGTTACTGGTTGAAACAAGAGAAAGATATTGAGAAATTTCAGCACAGATCTTCGATCTCCTATGTTAGAGACGACCTAGGGTTTTTTTTGAGGGAAAAATACGGTAGATTTTCGTGTTAGGGGAAGGGGTTATAAAGAATCCGCTTTTTACCGTTGGAATCCTCCATGTCAGCAAACAAATCAACCTTCACGCGCTTATTTTTGTTTAAAGTCACGCTATATTACAAATCAGCAGTCCATGATTAATTAGCACACATGGGAGGATGTTCGCGTGCCTGATAGGAAAGAGCCAAACTTTATGTGTGTATGTGAAAATCAGTGCCAAGTTTCGATGCCTGTCTATGTATTTGGCCAAACAATAATAAGGGCTATTTTTCTTTCTGCTCCTCTGGTCCCTCACTGCACATTACTTGTATTCACACGAATAAGTCAGACTAAAGATGATAAAATGCTCTCCACCAAAAGCTTTTTCATTTACGAGAGTCGAAAGCTTCTTAAGGGTTGTTCATCAATCGAATTACAACCTAACTATTTACTTCAATTACTATCTCTATTTGAAGTTACAGTTTAAAATTTCATTCGTAAATATCGAATCAGAAGGGATAAGGTTCAAATAAAGAGAACCAATTCTGTAAAATGAGCTGATGTCTTGTAGTTGCAAGGTGTTTGGGGCCACGTTTAGACTTCCCTCGTGCCAAAGGTAGGCAATCATTTGGAATATGCTAATGTTTTGTACCCTTTTTTATTTATTTCTCTTCTTCTTTTTGTATAAGCGTAGGACAAAAAAATTGACAAAAACGAGAACGCCTCAAAAGCTTCAAGCTTGAAAGCTGATTCCATTCAATTGTACATTACTTCAAGTGCTTATTTGTTACAATAGACTTCGAATTCTCAAAAGAATGAGGATCATAGAACTATATAACAAGAAGAGTTGTGATAGATTATATGTCATAGTAAGATTAATATATAACTATGATTGATCTTCCAAATATATATATAAAATATGTACAAAAAATATACTAAATTGATTGTCACTATACAATCTATATACAATAGACTGTCACTATACAAAATAGATTGTCACTATACAAAAATATACAAAATAGACTGTCACTGTACAATTTATATACAAAAGATGGTCACTATACAAAATATACTGTCACTATACAAAAAATATACTAAATAGACTGTCACTATACAATTTATATACAATAGACTG